GCTGCAGAGGACAGGAGGGTAAAGTGGCCAGAGCTAAGGAACGGTACCAGTGCCGGGTGTGTGGGATCTTCAGTGGCGACTTGGTTTAGACCCTGGCAGAGGCCCCCTTAACAGAGACAGTAAAAGAGTTTTAATTAAGGCAGAAGGCTCGGCTCAGCCAGACAGAAGGACGAGCAGGCCAAGAAACGTGCAAAGAACCATGCAGTGATGTGTCCCTCCGTCACCACAGCTGTGCTGCTCAGGTGACGGTGGAAATGCCACCCTCGGATTCTTCCAGCAGCCACGTCCTCCCGCCCCTCTCCCACGCAGGCAGCCCACTGCCCAGCTGCGGCCGTTCCTCAAGCGATCCCAGTGAAACACGCTATGTGGTGTTGAAACTTTGAAGTGACACCATGGCGACACAGCACACACAGCCCACTCCTGGCCAAGTGCAGCGTGAGGTCCGAGCCTCAAGAGACGGGCAATGGTCAGTGAGTGGCAATAAACTCCTAAACATCTGACTTGCAGGACATCTGACAAGAATCCCCAGACTTGTCAGGTCTTGCGATGGGGGAGCCCCTCACTGCAAATGGCTCTTGCAAGGGCCAGTCAGGTCCTGGACAGCAGGGACTGAACATTTTTGGAAGCTGAAGTCAATTTGGAAGCTGCCTGTAGCACAGACACAAGGAACACTCCATGCTTCTTCACGCGGGCAGGAAAAGCAGCGAGCCTGGGCCTTTCACATGGACACCCCTGAACCCACGGGAGATGGCAGGAAGAACACAGCTTCCTTCCGCGCTTGGCTCCACTCCCACCTTGGGAGGACTGGAGGAACGCAGCCGCTGCTGACCAGGACTAGGTGGCACAGCAGTCCTGCTGAGTCTGGGAAAACCCCTCACCGCTGCGGAAAGCAGAGCTAGCTGACCCGCTGCAGCGAGAGAGCTCAGCAGGAGCAGCCCTGCTGGTGCAAGGGCTCAGCTCGGGGGCAGAAAGCAGCAGCCGTTTCACCCCACACTTCCCTTTTGCAATGCACTGACACTAATAGTGCATTCACCACCGAACAAGAGACCGGGGCTCATGTGCCCAGGCACAGCCGAAGCCTCACTCTAGTCTCAAGTTTGATTTGAAGAGTCACAACCTTGAGTCACTTGAACAACGGAAGAGGCTTTAATTTCTGTACAGTAAAAACACAAACAAGCCAGTCAGTGGTTTTACATTTGATTCACAGCAGTCACTACGCACTTCAGCACTTGTCCGGCTGTTTGCTGTTGAAGGTGTATCGGTACTTTGCACTACACAGCACAGCCAAAGGCCCCAGCGCTGCTGATCTCACAGCCACACAGCTACTACATAACTAACACGCGTCCTGGCCCCCAGCTTCTACACTACAGCATGCAGGAGCCCCAGGGTTAACAGCTAGAGAGGGACAATGCGAAGCGTTACTAGAACACAGCCAGAGCAGGCAGATCCGCTTTCAGCCTGGTGTCTGGTATGACTCAGGTACACACAGGTGTCAGCTGTCTCCAACTTTCAAAGAGCTGCTCCCAGCAAGAATTATTCCTGCCCTATTACACGTCCAAAATGAAACGTTCA